ATTACGCAGTAGTTGTGTTGCTTTGACTACGTAACGAGGCCACTTGCATTTCATTTCTGGAATGCAGAGATGAGTTCTGCATCTTAGACTGAAGAGATTGTTGACTTGTGATCTCTTTTGTGAGAGCGTTACAAAAATTATCATTTTATAATTTTTGTTTTAGCTCCTTGAAATGTGAGAGTCGTCAAATTGTAACTATCGTTGTTGATTGTGAAGATTGTTGAACCAGAGCTTTCATCGGTTGCCGTGAAGGTCGTCGAATTGTAACCTTTCTTGATCTACATGTAAACCTTCTAATTATAGCCTTTATTTGTTGATGTAAAAGTCATTTGATTGTAACCTTCATTGTCGGTTGTTGATGCGGAAGTCATCAAATTTTTCATCATTGGTGTTTGATGGGAATTAGCTATCTGCAGTAATTTTTAGACAGCTTACAGAGGTTAAACTGATTCCCGAAACTCTGATGAGTATATGAATATAAACTTATTCTCCACACTCCAACGTCTTAAGAGTTTAAACTGTGTAGACTCCAGTTAACGTATGAGTATAAACTGTGTTAACACTGTAACGGAGGTCAACGCCGGTCAACGCATCAACAATTTCACCAAAATGAAGGATAATTCTCAGTTCCGAGTTACTCCCGGGAGTCCAATCACAATTCATATACGAACTCCCAACGAAGATGATCAGTTTAATGTCGAGTCAACGATACGAGCTAATTCTGAAATCAACACACCAGCTTCGATTCAAGATTTTGACAACGGTCAGACGATAAACGCAATACCGGAAGAATTTTAGTTATTCGACAAAATACTGAATAGACTAAAAGCTAAAGAAGTCAACGAATTAAAGATTGGACATATTATATCCAAAGTATTCCAACCTGCTCTATAAAAGAATAAGGCTGAAATACTTTGGAGGGGGTATCTGTAGGCGTTAAAAATTGCCTAAAAGTTATCGCAACAGCTTGAGATGAAGAGAAGGCAATAGAAGTCATCATCTAAGTCAAAGTAGATCACCCAATGCCAAAGACTAAATAAGGAATGTATAAAAATTCAAAACAATAAAAACAAGAGGACATCATACAATTTCTGAGACAAAGAAGTTGTTTAGGAAACTATGAGATAGCACATAGTTTCCGGGACAAGGAATTTGTCTCGGAAGCTATGAGGCGACACATAGTTTCCGAGACACAGAAACTATCTCGAAAACTATTTGACAGTGTCACGTTGTTTTGTGATGGTTTTCTTGAGATTTGTGTGATCCACGTGGCTTCATAACTATTGGGTATCATCCATAAATGCGGGGAGACAGTTACAAACTAAAAATCTGCTAATAACTATATAAATCATGGCATTTAAATGAATAGATGTTGGTTATAAAACAGTCTGGAGCAATTCCTTCTTCCGAGACTGTGGACACTGTCTCAGAAATAGAAGTTGTCACATGAAGTTTGTTTCGACTTCCTATCTTCAGAAACAACTTTTAGGGGCTATAAATACCTCCCTAGCATCCATATGCACGAGGACCAGGCAGATTCTAGGCAGAGACTTGAGCTTTTTAGTGGATTTTGAGCAAGAGAAAGAGAGTCGTGCACCGTTTTCAATGAATATTCAAATCTTTGGTGTTTCATCGAGATCTAAGATTTGACTTGATCTTGAGAAACGTGTTATCTTACCTTGTTTAGATATCCACTTCTATCCTTGTTTCTAAAACGAAACATCAACCCTAATCCTTCTTCGAATTAATTTGGATTTGTAATTTGGTTGTCCACGGGCTAACGTACCCCTGACACAAGTAAAGATCACACGCAAACAATGAACAATAAACATCCTCTGCGTGTGTTTCTAGGAAGTAATTTTTTTGTTTTATTTGTGTAAGAGAAGTCTTATAAAAATGCTCACTCTTTTGAACTTATTTTAAAACGATAAACATTGTAATGAGTTCCGCAATGAAACCAACTTTCGACGCAAACAGTCATTTTTGAGAGTTGAGGGGTTGAAGAAAGGGGTGTCGGTGGAGTTTGAGAATTTGATAGGGAGGAATAAAGCATTGGAGTTTGTAGTGGCGAAGGACTATGTTTCGACTGTGAGGGAGTATGAGGAGGGCACTAAGAGGGACCCTGGAGATGTCATTGCTTTGAATAACAAGGCTTTGTGTTTGATGTAAGTTACTTTAAAGAAACACAGTTAACATATTAATGTGATAGTAAATTTGTACAATATTTATATATCACACACTGGTTACAGTTCATATATATTGATAAGAATTTCAGGTCATATACACGTTAAATGATAGTAGTTAACAGATTATAAATAATAGTTAACAGATAATAGATTATAGTTAACAGTTTATAAGTAATAGTTAACAGATAATTGACTATAGTTAACAGTTTACAGGTAACAATTAACAGATAATGATTAATCGAATCCGAAAGATCTCTCAAATACATCAAACACAAAGCCTTGTTATTCAAAGCAATAACATCTCTAGGGTCCCTCTCAATGCACTCCTCATACTCCCTCGCAGCCGAAACATAGTCCTTCACCACTACTAACTCCAATGCTTTATTCCTCCATATCAAATTCTCAAACTCCACTGACTCCCCTTTCTTCAACCCCTCAACTCTAAAAAAACGACGTCTTTGCGCCATCCAAATCCCCAGTCTGAAGCTGAATATACCCCAACTTTGAGATAAGCACTGGATCCGTCGGATTCGAGTCCAAAACCTCCTGAATCAACGAAAAGCACACATCAAACTCCCCCCATTTGCCCGCAAGCCTTCATCAAGACAATGAAAGCTACGAGTTGAGTTCGATGTTTAGTTAGAGCATTTTGTCGAATAGCTTGAGGGCGGAGTGTGGATTGGATTCGGAAAGAAGGAGAGTGCACATGAGGGGGTTGCGGGGGTCGTGGGATTGGGAGAGGAGGGTGGGGCCCTTGGTGGGGCCGTAGGAGAGGGCGAGGGAGGAGATGAGGTGAGGGTTTGAGAGGAGGTTGAGCTTGAGAGCAAGTGAGTGGATTTGTGAGAGGAAGGGAGGGGAGGAGAGGGATGAGGTCGAGGAGAGGATGAGGGAGAGTGCGCGTGGGTTGGGGAGTTCGTTGTAGAGGAGGGTTTGAAGGGGGTTGGAGGGGAGGAGGGAGCTCCATTTGAAGGTTTTTGTTTGGGGTTTTAATGGGGGTTTGCTGGGTTTTTGGGTTTTTGGCGCTTGGGGGCTTGAGGGGTCTGGGGTTGGATGGAAGAGGATTAAAGAAGAAGTGGGGAGAAGTAAAGTTAGGTTTTTGGATAAAAAACATAAAAAATTAGGCTAATTATGAGTTGGAGGGGCTGAGGCACAATTTTTTCAAAATTTGAGGCTGCAGCACATTACAAATAGTATGAGGGGCTAGGGCACATTGCTTCTTGGGTTTTCAGGTCTTGAAGCAAATTTTTCTTTTTTCCTTTTGCATAACTATTATGAACCGATACCAAATAATCATTTTTAATATTTATATGACAAGCAGTAGAATATATTCTTATATAATATTTCATTTCCTATAATTTTAAAAAGTAAAGTAAACACCGAGAAAAGAATCTTATCTCCAAAAAAGTAAAGCACATATGCATTTCATATTTTGAACTCCATCTTCCCCACTCGTTGATATTATAACAGACGTGTTCATTTTGTTAACAGTAAGAAGATCAGAAGACTCCCTTTTTGCCCCCTTTCATTTTTTCCTTAAGGGGCTGTTTGGTTCGTTTCCTTGATATAGAGAAATGAAATTCCATGTAAAGAAACATAAGTTTTGAGTTTTCCAAACTTTTCCAAGAAATATATTGTTTTGCTTTGGTTCGCACATAAAAAATGGTGGGAAACCAATGTATTTATTTTTCTTGTGTTTGGTTCGCATAGAAAAAAAAGGAAAACTTTTGTAAACAAAGCAGAGAAAGAAAAAAAAATCTGACGTGGCAGAGTTTTCATCAAATTTCACTTGGTTGGGGAAGGAAATCGGAGAGGGAAAAAAATCTTAGTTGGCGGCGATTTCAGCAGAGTTTTCCCTCTTCCATTCGAGCGAACCAAAGCGGCACAAAGAAATGGACGGAAACAAAAACGCTGACGTGGAGGGCTAAAAATCTGACGTGGAGGGGTTTTCTGAGTTTTCCACCCCTTATAATAGCGAACCAAACAGCCCCTAAAAAGAAAAGAGTTATTTCGATATTAGTCCCTCAAAATTTTAATAATTTCACATTAGGGACTCAAATATCAATAGTTACTCATTAGTCCCTCAAACCTACTGTTATTGCATTTTGGTTCCTCAATAACCAAAACACCCCAACTAATATTTTTAGTGATTCTTTGCAATTTGGCACTCTAAAGTCTACACCATTTTAAACTTTATACCCCAAGGTTTTTTTACACTTTGATATCTAAAATTTTACAACTTTTTAACTTTGATATCCCAAAATTCACAACTTTTTAAATTTTGGTACCCCAAACTTTTTTAAAACTCTAATACTCCAAAGTTCACACATCTTTTTACTTTGATACCTAAAAATTTACTCATTTTTAGCTTTGATACGTGAAGTTTGGGGTATTAAAGTGTTAACAATAAAACTTTAGCATATCATAGTGAAAACATACAAGCTTTTGTCATAACAAAAGTGTCAGAGAAAACTTTAAGGTATCAAAGTTGAGAATGAGTGAAAACTTTAGGGTATCAAAGTGTCAAAAACCTTAGGGTATTAAATTTAAAGAAGTATAATTTTTAGAATACCAAAGTTGAAGTAACCTTTCTTTTAAGAAGATGAAGTTTAAGAAAGAAATCATAACTGAGGGGTATTTTGGCTATTGAGAGTCAAATTTCAACATCCCTTAAGATTTGAGGGACTAATAAGAAATTATTGAGATTCGAGGAGTAATATCTAAATTAACAACCCCTCCAACCCGCGGGGGAAAAAAAGAAAAAGAATAAAGGATAAAGGTTCCACTCGGTTAATTAAAAAAATAAAAAATAAAAATAAAGGAAAGAAAGAAAGAAAAAGGAAAACAGTAGAAGCCTTCTTCAAGTTCGTTTTCAGCCTTCGGGAGATTCCCACTCTCTTCTTAAAACCCTCGCTCTTCTCTTCGGGGGTTCTCTATACGCATGGCTTCTTTGGACTCGCAAACGGAGGCGATTAAGGTATTATTCCCCTCGTTTTTCTAGGTTACGAGATTCTTCATCTTTTCTTTTGGTTTCTAACTTTGACTTTGATCGGCACCGAGTTCGGTTGCAGAGAGCCAAGGTGCTCATGGTTGGCGCCGGCGGGATTGGTTGCGAGCTCCTCAAAACCCTAGCTCTCTCCGGTTTCCAAGATATTCACATAGTAAGCAGCTTCCAAAGTTTTCCCCTTCTTTTGCTTCACTTAGGGTTTTTTTTTTACCCCGAAAGGGGGATTTTTGAATGTTCAGATTTGATGGTTTTAAATATTGTGGGTTGTTGAGTATAAAAGTTGAAAATTTGCCTTAAAGATGTTAAATCCCTAGAAACCCTAATTGCAATTTCGCAACTGGAAGAAGAATATAAGTGATTTCTGTTCAGGCGTTCTGATTTCATTATGATTGTGACTGTTACTTTGAGATAGATACTTCTGTAATTTCTTTCTTATTTTCTCATTAAAGTGCAGATCTTGATTTCTGAATATGCTCCACTCCACCTATGTGTTAATAAAAAGTTTTTGTTGGTTATGAATTCATGAATTTGTCCAAAAGTGGCTCCTTGAAGTAGCTTCAGACACACTTTTTCTGCAGTCTATTGTCTCTATGATTCATGTTGTTGAATGAAAGTCCACTTTAACGTTTGAACGTCTACGCTTTAAAGCAAAAGTGGATTTGAAGGATTAGATAATACTAAGTGATCGAGTGACTAGTATCCTTCTTAGAGGGCATTTATCTGTTGTCACCTTTAATATGTTATGAGCATAATATAGTCTGGAATACTATTTAAGAGTCGAGTTGAGATTACCTGATGTGGCTGTATTAGATCCATACTAAATCAGTTTATATGTAGAGAACTATCGTTTTGAAGAAGTGAATAAATAAGAGCATAACATCACAAGTGTTTACTTGATTCTTGTTGGTATTGTGGCTTTAAATAATACTAGCATGTTAGCCTAATTTGATATCACTCCCCTGGAAACTTTGCCTCTACTATGTGAAATGCGTTCCAATTAACTCTCTATTAGGTTGATATATCTGTGTCTAAAAACTGATCATGTGTCTTAAGTTCTCCTAGTCATGGATTTTAGCACCCAGAAAAAGGAAACAAAGGACCAGCAAGACTTTAGGGAGTGAAAGGAGAAAAATTAGCTGAAGAAATGTTTGGTTGAATGGAGATGATGCTGCATTTCTATTTCCATTATCTGGTGAGCAACATGGATAATAAAAAGTGTTAAGTTGCTAAATATAGACTGCTAATGATGTGTATATTCAGCCTACTAGTGGACTGTTGCCGTATGATTGTCTCAAATCTTACATCTTTCAATTAAGGCTTTTGACCTAAGCTTTTTCTACTCTCTCAAATTTGGTTTCTTTAAAAATGTTTAGGCTAGTCCATGAATTTGGTTGTAATATTGGCGAAGGTGATGGTTGTAGCACTGTAGTCTGGCCTGATAGGATTTAAGTAGAATAGAATGCTCCTACACCTTGAATTACCTGTTCAAGAATGTATTGTGATTTCATCATTTTGTTGTTTCAATTTCAATAATTTTTGTTGTATGTGCTATAGGCCCTTATTCATCTCTTCACTATTATCTCATAAGCTCAAAAATTTCTATTGAATTGCCTACAGCAGGAAAATCTGCAATTAAGATGCTTTTAAAAGAAAAAAAGAAATTCTGCTAGGCATACTTTATTTTTACTATAGCTCTTCACATTAATTTTTAGCTAAGCAAGCCCTTAGTTCCCTATGTATGGAAAAATTGCTTTCAAGGTTTCCCTAAACAGACCACTTTAGCATCCCATAGAACCTGTAAACTAGTGAGGCCTGCTGTGTACTGAATCAACAGCCTCTATTATATTTCTGATGAATCTGGCAGGGCTTGACATCAACCAAATTTTACATTATGTATGTTGCTCGTTTAAACTGGTGGATGTCTTGTTTTCCTATTAAAATCACCAGTCTGGTTGTGTTTAAAATCAGATCATCAAATTGCAAGATCTGCTTTCATATTTCTCTAATCAGACCTCTTTCATATTCAATAGAGAGTGCAAAAAGTGAGGCCTTCTAGGGACTGAATCAATTGCGTTCAGGAAATTATTATCAGATGAATCTAATGCTGTTGTGTAGAGACGAAATTTTGCTTGTGTATGTTGCTTGTTAACGTTGATGGATGTCTTGTTTTCATATTAAAATCATCACTCCAATTGTGTTCAAAGTTGGGCCGTTAATTTTGCTCTCCGTTATGAAGTTAATGAGAATGCTAGTATTTGCACCATGGTGCCGTATATGACTAACAATGTGTATGGCATCCCTAGCATATCAGCTGTTAAATGTTTGTTGAACTCATCAGTTCATTTGCGTTTAAAGTTGGAACTTTAATTTTGTTTTTTCAGTTATGAACTTGATTAAAATGCTAGTGTTTGCACCATGACGTTAATGTTTGCACCATGATGGTACATACTACGGATAGCATGTACACTAAATGAATGCTGTTAAATTATCTGGGATACCAGTTTGGAAAAGTGATAATATGATAGTTGTTGTGGGGAAAATATCTAGAGGTAAACCCACTGTTTTAAAAAGCCTCCGTCTAGTCCGCCTAGGCGTATGCCTAGACCTAGGCGATATATTGGCCGCCTAACTAGCGCCTAGAGCCTAGGCGGTACCTAAGCTGCCCACCAAGGTTTTGGGAGTGTTTAGGGAAGCATTGTCTGCTTATGTGGACTGCACCCTTTAGGCATTGATCGTGATTTTCTGTGTTGCAGCCTCCACGTCTTCCAACCTCCTTCAAACCCGTTTAACCTCCAAATATGAATACCTTCACTACCTCCTCCGATCTTCAGCAAAACTTCCTCGAACACCACTTAAATGAAAAAAGAAATCCGCCTAAACACTAGTCAGTCACCTAAGCTTTTTATAACATTAATATTTACTATCAATTATTGCAATTAAAAAATAAAAAATAAAATCTCTTGGGCTCTAGGCAACGGATCCAACACGTAAGCCTCCTAGCGCTTTCTATAACCTTGTTAGTTATTATTTTGACTATTTTGCATTTAAGTATGCATGGTTTATTGTGGATCTAGGACTGCTATCTTTTTTTTTTACAAATTTATATGAATTTAATATATATTTATCAATTATTATAATTAAATAATTTAAAAATAGCTAAACGCCTAGGCGCTGCCTAGGCTTACGCTTAGGCGTCTAGGCGCCGCCTAGCGCCTTTTGTAACATTGCGCGTAGCGCATTCTGTAACATTTGGTTAACCTAGAGGAACTTAGTTGGGAATGATTAAGAACAGAGGAAATAACCCAAATCAAACAGAATGGAAGAGTATGATTCTTGTAGTTTTCTTGGAAAAAAGGCTTTGTTGTTATTGTTGTTGCTGCTGCTACTGTTAAATCATCTAATTTTCCCTACTTTTCTTCCTTGGTTCTCGATCCTTCTCTTCATGTTTTAGCTTCATTTACTTTTTGTTGGTTTGTGATCTTTGCAACGACCACTCTATAACAATTCCTACATCACTTTATTCCTGGGTAGTTTTCTATCATTATTCTGCGATGTCATCTTAATGTCTTCAACAATACTGTATTTGTGATCTGCGATAGATTAGTTGTTTCCTTTATTTAAGCTACATCTCATGATGATGCTTGTTATTATTTCTTGGGTTCCTATTACATGTTTACTTGTTAGAGTACCATTATAAGTTATTTCCCTGGAGCTATCATAGGGAAGTCCATCTAATCTTCCAAACTCTTGCAACCTGATCAATTTCTAGATATGGATATAGTTATATGTATTTTAAAGATATTCTAATGACTACAATAATTTCTTGTTGATGGAATTTTGTTTTACCTAACTCCGTTTGCCGACTTTTGCAGATAGACATGGACACAATTGAAGTGAGCAATCTGAACAGGCAATTTTTATTCCGTCAAACTCATGTTGGACAGTCTAAGGCTAAAGTATGGGAACAAATTCTTTTTCAATTCTCCTGCACATACCGCAATCGGTCATGCTTCCTTTCATGCATGGTCGATGTTGTCTAATTACTCCCATTTCATTATTAATTCATCAGGTTGCTCGAGATGCTGTTTTGAAATTTAGGCCTCACATTAATATAACACCATACCATGCAAATGTCAAGGATCCTGAGTTTAACGTTGAATTTTTTAAGCAATTCAATGTGGTTTTGAATGGTCTTGACAACCTAGATGCGAGGAGACATGTTAACCGGCTTTGCTTAGCTGCTGAAGTACCTTTGGTTGAAAGTGGAACAACAGGTTTCCTGGGGCAGGTGAGTTGATAGCATGTCAATCAAACATCGTAAGTTTCGATACACATTGCAAATATTAGTTCATATTACAGTTTAGTCTATTCGTTTTTTTACCTAATACTGTCAGAAAAAATGGTTTCCCTAAATATTTTCCATTTAGGGCAGGGATATTGTGCATGAGGGTGATGGATTGTTGTTTCTTTGTTAGAGTGTTAATCCTGAGGTTGCTTGAAAAGGAAAGAAAATATAGGAGAACCATGATTTATCATAGAAATACACATGTAAAATATGAAGAGCTAAAATTTCAGATAGACCTTCTTTTGCAATCTGGGTGAAGGGAACTAAGGAGACAAGGATTAATTAGGCAGTACTTATCTAGGCTGCAGCTGGCAGCAAGCTGAGCTTAAATCATCTCTCATTCATTCATAAAATTGCTTAGCTGATTACTTAGAACCTTGCATGGGCTTTAAGTGGAAAACAGTAAATAAAATCTGAACTAGACTTCTCTATTAAAAAAAAAGCATACAAATTCAAATATTTAACTTACACATCCATAACTATAAATTAAAGAAATTTGGCCATCCAACTTTGTCTTATTTCACATGCTAGATAACTCCAAACCAGATCCTAGATAATTAAGTTAGACCACCTGATTAGTCAATTGAATTACGCCTATCTGCTATCAAACTCACCTAATGATTTGATTCAGTTCATTTCCAGCACAACATCCAGGTATGTAAAAATGCTACTACTTCAAATGCTACTACTTCCCAGTTTAATGTGTGTGTGTGTATGTGTCCACACACACACACACACAGATATATACATATACATAGTAAGACTCCTATCAACTTAAGTTGATGTCCACCAAACTTCCTAGCCACTCATTTATTAATATAAAAAACCTTTTCATATTGTGGGGTTGTGTTATATAAACTTGTGTGCATTAAATTGCTAATTCTAAGTTCTCTCTAAAATAAATGCATATATACATCACATGGATATGACATGACATATAGGATGAGGACAGGTCAGTGATATGCAAATGAAAACATCCACATATAGTAAGTATGCTTGTAGTTTGTCTAATTTCAATATAAGTTGTATTTTCTAATCAATATTATATATTTGCACATCCAATCACTTATTCGTTAGAAGAGATAAAAAGTAGCTGGAGATGAACCATGGGAAGGTCTATACTACATTGAAGATCATTTAACGCTTAACACCACTGAAGGTTTATTTGACAGTTAAATTTTAATAATTTGATTGGATTTTAATTGTGAACTATTTGGCTGTTGTGATTCCTATGTGCTAGGTCACCGTCCATGCAAAGGGTAAAACTGAGTGCTATGAATGCCAGCCAAAACCAACTCCTAAGACATATCCTGTCTGCACAATTACAAGCACTCCGTCGAAGGTATGGTCTTTCCTTGCAAGAGATGGATGCATGGCCTTGCATGTTTTATGTGTTTCTTCTCCTCAAATTTAGCTGCATAAAACTACAGATCTTATTGCTCAGAACAATTTTGCTTATAAATTATGCTTCTAATCATGCTGGATTTGTAATGTGTTTTATCTTCACAGTTTGGTTTTTTATTTTGAACACATTCCTAACTCACAAAGTAAATCACAGTAAGTGCTTTTTTTGGGTGCTTTGTATTACAATAAATTCTGCACATTTTTATACCATTTGCTAAAGCACAAGGCTCTACGGCCTAGATACAAGAGGATGTTATTGTTACCTTATACCAACTTGGTATCCTGAATGGTTAAAAGGTTATGAGTATGACCAGACCAACGAAAGCATGGTGTAGCTTAAAGGTCAAAGATTAAGTAAATGATAGTTGATATCAGATGATTTTGGTTCTTCACAGGTAGAATTTCACTCTTAATTTTTGGCTTACTGACCCTTACCATACCTCATAGTATTTGTACCTTCCAGACATAGTATTATGTAGTCTTTGCTTATTTTACACAGACCGCCTTGCTGGAAGAATGACTATTATTGATTATGCATGCACAACATTGGCTCCTGGTTTGCTCCTTGTATCTGTGGAGATACCAAAGCCAACCTTTTTGCCTCATTAGTGGCATTAGTGAAACTTCAATTGTGGCATTTACATAATAATAAAATAAACTGGTGCTGCATTATTATATGCTTTTACTCAGCATGTCAATATTGTTTCAATAGCTGCACGTTTGAGAAGCTATAAGGTCACTTTCTCTAGATTTCTCAACATACTAGAATCTGAAGAGCATGCTGAGTTGCATGTGGCATGAGCAGCAGGTCCAACAATATACACAATAATCATACTTTTGTCTAATAATTAATGAAGACTACCAACTGTACAAATACTAGAGAAACACTACATTTGTAAAAAGAGTAGATTGTATAGTACATATAAAACCTTAATAGGCATGAAAGATATAAACTGCATAAGCAGAATCACTGATACTATAATGTCAGGAATACTAAATATCACACTAGTGGAGTGAATATTTAATTATTTATTAATTGATGATTTTTATGCGTCAATGTAGGGATTGACTACAATGTTCTATGTAGTTTACGACATCATACACAATCCTTATCAATTAGACTTTCTAATCGTGATGTGGGTTCTTTTTAAGAAGAACCAATCTTTGAACTTGATTCAACTTTTGTTTTGCATGTTTTCTGATCTTGTATAACTTTTTTTGTTGATAATTTTAAAATCTTAGCTGTTATAGAATATTCCTAATAGCTGCTGTCTCTAGGATTATGCTGAAAAGTTTTGTATACATTTCCGCTTTGCATCTTATTTCTCTGTTACTATATTATTGAAAATATTTGTAAGGCTTTAGCTGATTGTTCTTTACAATTCATTTTATTTCAGTTGTGATGTTAAATTTATATACTTTTGCAGTTCGTCCATTGCATTGTTTGGGCAAAAGACCTGCTTTTTGCAAAATTATTCGGTGATAAAAACCAGGGCAACGATCTTAATGTGCGTTCCAGTGATGGTGCTGACTCATCAAAGCACACAGAAGATGTTTTTGAACGAAATTTAGATGAAGATTCTGAGCAATATGCTCGAAAGATATATGACCATGTATTCGGGTACAACACTGAAGTAGCATTAGCTAATGAAGAAACATGGAAGAACAGAAATAGGCCTAGGCCCATATATATTAGTGATGTACTTCCTGACAGGATCACCAAGAAAAATGCGAAAGTGGAGAATGGCAGTACTGAGTCAGCAGTTTCTGCTATGTCATCTCTTGGCCTTAAGAATCCTCAGGATGTTTGGAGTCTTGTGGAAAATACAAAGATCTTTCTTGAGGCTTTGAGGTTATTTATTGTGAAACGGACTGAGGTTTGTACCATTAATTTTATTTCATATCCGTCACATGTTTCTGCTGGATACAGATTGTGGACTATTGTTTTATCATCTTTGTGTGCTTGTAGGACATTGGGAACCTGACTTTTGATAAAGATGATCAATTGGCTGTCGAGTTTGTAACTGCTGCTGCAAATATTAGGGCATCGTCTTTTGGCATTCCTTTGCACAGTCTTTTTGAAGCTAAAGGTATTGCGGGTAACATTGTCCATGCTGTTGCTACAACAAATGCTATTATCGCTGGGTTGATTGTGATTGAAGCAATCAAGGTGCTCAGGAACGATTTTCATAATTACAGGTGGGTATTAAAGTTTACCAACATTAGCTTTTAAATCTTGCAAGCTTCTAAGCTAAGTTGCATGGATACGAGTATGGGTACAGGTACGAGACACGGCAAATTTGTAAAAGGTAGGTGATGGACATGGATAAAACTTGTGGGCCGTCTTCATACTGCTAAGCTAGATATGCAAACAACCCTTTGAAATTGCAACTCTTAAGGCAAAAATTAAAATGGACCCTTGGCCAGCAAGTTTAAAAAATGGATGTGATGTGTAGGATATATGTTCAAGAAGTGTATGATGAGTGTTTAAAATTTAAACATGTAATGTATAATTGAGTGCACATCTGAAACTTGAAAAAAAGTATTATATAGTTAAAGACTGTCCATGAAGTGTCGGGTACAGGTAGGGGTACGACACATGTTGGGTACGGGCAAGAAGTACCCAGGTACCATAGCTTCTAAGGTATGAGTTCCTCAATCCATGGATAGATATTTATCATTTCTGTTTAACAAAACTGTTGCTGTGTATTTATTATATTACAATCTCAGTGAATTTACCAGTACATGCATTAAAATGAAGATACATTCTCTTATGTTTGCTTATGAAGGCATTTATATGCCTTTTCTGATTTGCAAGCAACTCGACAACTTCTTCGTGAAGACTCCGACTTGTCCTACCATCTGGCAGGAAAGTAGGGATATTTGTTTTCAATGAGAAAGGCTAGAGGCGATAAATGGTGAGAGTAGGAAATCTACTGTTACAGTAGTTTTAATCAGGCTACTATATTTATTCAGTTCATGTAGGTTTTTGGTTTGTAGCATTAACTTCGATCAGTGAATTCTCGTAAACTGTAATATGATTGAATATTTCAGATCCATACATGGATATTGATATGAGTTATGATACGGACTGGACCCAAAAGTTCAGCTACAGATATTTATTTGTTTCGTTATTATCTTTATCTTGGTTATTAGAAAGCTTAAAGGTTGAAGTGACCTAGGGGATAGTTTGAGAGAGACAAACCTGTGGCCGGCTTGAAACTGATTTAATCCAAATAGATCAACCCAAAATTTGAACTAACCTGTTATCTGCTGGCACTTCCTGCTACCAGTTATCAGCTAACTATCAGGCATCGTGCTACCTTTCACCTACTGCTACTGCTCCTGCAGCAATCTTGTATGAATATAGTTGCTACTTACTTACTAGTACTATATGAAAATCTTCTCTGCTGATGCCACCTTGTTTCTTACCAGGGAATTTTTGAACAAAGTCTCACGTTTAGGATGTATTGTCTTAAATCTAAAAGTATATATGGGGAAACTTTCCCTCTTTTGAGGATGTATTGTCCTAAATCTGTCACGATATATATGGTGGTCAAAGAAGTGTTTGTCAATAAGAGGTTGTGTCAATGGAGCCCTGCCTGCTTTCACATGTATAATACTTGGTGTACTGGTTTCATACATATTGTACATTGTGATTTACCATTCCTGTTGCAATTTTTCCTTTTTTTGGGTGTATGGCTCGTGTTTTTTGGTGGCGAGGGGGTGGGGGTGGGTGGATGGGTGGGATTGTATTTTTGAACAAAGTCTCACGTTTAGGATGTATTGTCTTAAATCTAAAAGTATATATGGGGAAACTTTCCCTCTTTTGAGGATGTATTGTCCTAAATCTGTCACGATATATATGGTGGTCAAAGAAGTGTTTGTCAATAAGAGGTTGTGTCAATGGAGCCCTGCCTGCTTTCACATGTATAATACTTGGTGTACTGGTTTCATACATATTGTACATTGTGATTTACCATTCCTGTTGCAATTTTTCCTTTTTTTGGGTGTATGGCTCGTGTTTTTTGGTGGCGAGGGGGTGGGGGTGGGTGGATGGGTGGGATTGTCGTTGTGGTGTTGGTTTTGTATGGGTATGTGGAAGAGGTTGGGTTGATTTGTAAATGTTAACACATCACCCCCACTACCACGGCTTACCCTGCCCCATAAGCCACATGAGAAAAAGAAATTTCCTGTAACCTTGTTATAGACATGCAGTGGGTTAGAACCATAGTTGCATAGTTCGCAGTATGTAGCGGGTCGTCGTACGAATTCGAGTACGCAATTCGAGACTTTGAAATTTTGGATTTGACAAGGGTAGCTTGCTTCGATACACAAGTTTGATATAGGATACAGTGTAATTTGTTTGGGTACACTTATTATTTTTCAAAGTGTAAACTCAAAAATTAGAATTTGGAAAACTAATTATGCATTTCAATATTTTTTCATATAAAATACTTCAATACTTCATTTTTATAGTTTTTTGATACATAAAACTTAAAATATTAAATATTAAACAACCTCTTAATATTTTTTTTTCTATTTTGCAACTTTCTTCCCCTTAACATCAAGTGCATCTTCTGCTAATTCCAAGTCCAAACAACTCCATCTAAGCTCCTCCAACTTACTTAAAAGAGTCCTTCAAGTTATCATTATTGGGAATCCATATCCCATCCTTTATATGGACGAACTTTGTAATTCTCAGAAAATCATGACAGGAGGCGAATGTTTGAATGGATGAATACTAACTTATCTGCCCTTTCACTGTTCAATCTATTCCTTTTCACACTATGTATGTAGGAATGAGTACTCCAATTTCTCTCAGCTGAAGAGTTACTAATAGGCCGAGATAAAACCCTCTTAGCAATTCAGTTAAAGAAATAGTGATATGGAATTAGTTATTAACTTGGATAACTTCCACTTACTGAAAGAATACTTTCAATAATATTATCAAACATATAAAAAAATCCAAGCGCATGTGCACAAAAGCAGATTTGTAAATCAACTTTGGTCCCCCCATACTTGGTAAGTAGTACGCTAAATTTGGGGAACCAATTCGTGTATTGGAGGGAATCGGTTTGTAAATGTACCGGGAATCGGTTTGTAAATGTACCGGGAATCGGTTCGCATGAACTGTTTGTTCTAGGGAATCGCACAACTATGGTTAGAACCGTCTCATTTGTATTACAAGATAATTCAGTGCATGTGTACAGTTCTATTTAATATTAGTTAATTTATCTGTTAATTATTGCATTTTCTCCCTTATTTTGTCTCCTCATTCTGCTTCATGGAACATGCCGTTCTTATCTGCATCTTTAGTATTTTTTTCTGCTTGTTTTGTTTATTTGTCTTGCTTGCAAGTCTATTGTTCTTTGCAGACTGTGAAGTTGAAGTATTTGTTTCAGGATGACATACTGTCTTGAGCATCCATCAAGAAAGATGCTTTTGATGCCAGTGGAACCATTTGAACCTAACAAGTCTTGCTATGTGTGTTCTGAGGTAGTCTTATTATACCTTATTACTGAAATTATATGCATGAATAAATTTGATTTTTGTTGATTGATTTTTTTGCATGGGACAGACACCTCTACTTCTGGAGGTAAATACCTCTACCTCAAAACTAAGGGACTTCGTTGAGAAAATAGTTAAAAACAAGCTGGGGATGAGTTCCCCTTTGATAATGCATGGATCGAATCTAATTTTTGAAGTTGGTGATGATCTTGAGGAAGATGTTGCTGCCAATTATGCTTTGAACCTGGACAAGGTTATGACAACAGCCACTTAATCTTTCCACTTAGTCAGGGTTTGTATTTTTGCTAAAACTTTAATCTTAACAACTTACTTATCTGCAGGTCTTAGCTGAGCTTCCTACTCCGGTTACTAATGGGACAATGCTGAAAACACAGGTCTTGTCATTTGCTGCAGCACTTAACTTCATGACATATATTAATTGAGCCCCATTGATATGGCATATTGTATTCCCCCCCTTTTGGTGAAAGGCCTTAACCATCCTCTTAATGTTTGTAAGTAATATGAATTATTTGCGGAGATTGATATAATCAATCATAAGTAGTATTACAAGGCTTCTTGGTTCTCGTCATATTTATAATCCATATCTTTTATGTACATATACATGGGTTGAGTACAGCAGGAGATTAGCTTGTACTGTTAAAAAATATTCCCATAGGTGGGAGTTGGATCATTTATGTATTAAGATTACTTGTTGAGGAGTCTTAATTGATCAACTGCTTGAATAACTAGGTTGAGAATTCCATGAAGAATGTTTCATATCTCGCATCATTACCCTTTTTTGACATCTTGATATCTCTTTAATTTTTGTAGAGGAGAATTTGATGAGGAGAAAGAACCCGATGGTATGTTACTATCAGGATGGACTGCACCTGCCGACAAGGATAGGGTGGTCACAAGTAATGGAGAGAGCTCCTCAATTGTTACACAAGAAACAAAGGAATCAGATGAAGTTGACATTGTTTCAGATAAACATGGAGTTGTGGGAACAAAGAGAAAACTCTCTGAACTAGCAGAAAAAACTGAGAACCATGCAATGGAACCTACTCACTGCAAGCATAGTGCTCCAAGAAATGAAGTTCCTGAAGATGTTGGGGACAATGACGAAGAGGATGATGTTGTCACGCTTGATGAGAACCCTGAAATTGGAAGGAGTAAAAGGTTGAAATGACAGTAACCTTCAGTGAACTGCAGTGATATGGGGCCTACTCCAACCTAGTATTGAGTATCTACTTGTTCATTCGTGCTCTTGACTTTGATGAGTGTGGTACAATCACTAACACTTGCCTGGGTTACGTTTTGCGTCATTATTCAGGTGAACTAGATGTTAGGTTTTGTTTTTTTTGTAGGCGTGGTAATTGTATGGAGATAGTGTGGCAGGCTACTGATATTGAGAAATCTTTTGCAGTGGAGGAAATGCTTTGTTTATATATCATAGGTAGCTGAGCAGTGAATATAGGTCTAAAGAACTTTCTCCGAGTACTCTCAGTGGGTTTGGGGGAAGCTTGTAAAACATTTAGAACTATGTCCATGTTCTTTTCATTGTTCAGAGTATAATTGTAATTTATGAGTTGGGATTGGTCACTGACAGATTGTAGTGACAGCTGATTAAGTAGTGCATTCAACATAACTATTTCTATGGTCTCAAATTACTTTTATTTGCAAATTATTACTTGTGATTGTTATTATCGTATCAGAAGGTTAAGCAATCGTGTAATTCTCTGGATGTATTCCGAGCAAAGTGATCTATTGTAGGTCTGTTTGTCGCATATATGCCACTGCAGCGGCAAATCTTTGCGTATTAGCGAGTGGCTGTTGTCATTTAGCATTGACTGCTGTTTACAACAGAGGCAATCTGATCATTCATAAACTGATTGGGATTCCAACGTATAACGACTCGTCACATACTTGAATCCTCACAATGCTAGCAAATGGATGAGGATTTTTGTTCACAGAGCTAAGTAAACGTGCCTTGTTTGCCTCCTCCATGAGCACTGTTAGGTACACAACATAGACTGTTATCAAATGTTCAAAGTCACATACTTGAATCCTCACAATGCTAGCAAATGGATGAGAATTTTTGTTCACAGAGCTAAGTAAATGTGCCTTGTTTGCCTCCTCCATGAGCACTGTTAGGTACACAACATAGACTGTTATCAAATGTTCAAAGTCTGGAAAGAGAACCTACTACATTGATAACGTAGGCCGTAGATGTTGATTGATTACATGTTTGTTGCAATTGAATTTATAGGTTGACTGAAAATCTCTAGAATTGTCGTTATCACTCTGCTATAGTAGCAGAAGACAGAAATTCTAAATCTCCGGTCATGGACAAATATATATATCTGAAAGTCATCAGTATTGAAACTCAATAAACTCTCGGATCGAAAGAACAAGAACATTTGACATGGTAGCATGAGACTGCTTTCCAAAATCCAAACGGAAACTCATTCTTAGTATTCAGTTCATAATCCCAAAAGTACAAAGTACAGGGCATGTATATATGCTATGGTAGTCCAGCCTGAAATGTCTACAATGGAGTCATGCATCTAATAGACAAGAATTGTGTAACTTATACTTCAAGCTTCTTTTTTGACATTCAAAAACCAAGAATGATAAGAATGAATATAACGTCAAACAAATAGTTTCAGTTTAAATTCTGAATATTATATAATCAGTAAGACCAGTGAAATTCTATATATAGATGGAAAATTACAAAGTAACTTGCCGCTAAAACCGCACTAGCACCAATAAGGTTGGCATTATAAGAGAACAAAAGCACCTGTGGGTGTGCACTAGCACCAATAAGGTTGGCATTATAAGAGAACAAAAGCACCTGTGGGTGTTCACACACAGCAATAGTAAAGTCATCTTCTCCATCTATCCTTCCAGATCACCTAATCCTATTGTAAATCCTAGAAGCAATGCATCCAGGTTCATTCTTGATCTCAAAACAGTTTACCCAACTTTCATAAGCTTTGTCAAATGGAGAATAGGATCAGGAGATTCATGCAAGTTCTGGTTGGACAGGTGGGCGGGTATCAACTCCCTCAGCAGCTTATTCCCCAAAGCTTTCTATCTAGCTTTCTCTCAGTCTAGCCTTATCAGCTCCCAAGGTTCATGGCAGAATAATGTTTGGATATGGAAACCTATTTTGAGGAGAGGCATCTCCATAGAAGACAAAAAAGATATCTCCGACCTATCTGCCTTCATTAATCATATCAGGCCTGATCCCGACAAATTTGATACCATTCTATGGCCTCTCAATCCATCTAATTCATTTTCGGTGAAATCGTTATACGACATCCTCATCAAAGGAGGCATTTTATCCCCTTTCCACAATTTCATTTGGAAAACCCCTATCCCCCTCAAGGTTAAAACCTTCCTGTGGATTCTAAGCAAGAAAAAACTTCAAACAAAGGATAATTTGCTCAAAAAAGGTTGGAGGGGTGACTTATCTTGCCCACTTTGTAGCCAGATGATGGAAACCCATGATCACCTGTTTATATCGTGTCCCTTTACCCAAGCTGTATGGGCCATCTTGCTACCATCTTCTTCCACCAGCTTATGGCCTCAGGAGGTAACAAGTTTGATTAAAGGCAAAGAAGAATTCTTGGTCAATCAGAATCATAAAGCTTTATGGAGGATTTTGTTTCCCTGTACATGCTGGTGCATTTGGAGGAGCCGCAACAACTTTATTTTCAATAATACTCTCTCTTCTCCCTCCTCTATTGCAGCTAATTCTTCCCGCTTTGTTCTCTACTGGACAGGGGCTTCTAAGAGCAAAAAATCACAGAGGATGCTTAATGCGGCAATAAACTCTGGTCTGCCAGCGATAGCGGAATCTTCTCGGAATGAAAACTTCGAAGAAAATCATCCTTAAGGGTTCGGGTCCCCAGGAGATCCTTTTGGTTTTGGAAATTTCAGTTTTTGTTAGTTCCCCAGTAATCTCTGCTATTGGGACAGTAGCTTCCTCCGGTTCTAGCAGTCCTCAGCTCATCCTGAGTTCTTTGGCTTATCAAGTTGTGGAAATGTGTTTTGGTAATGTATTTGTAATCAGTTTTTGTTACGTTGGTTTCTATTAGCAACTTCTGGTTTTCTTTTTTGATTTTTTGAGTTCTCCTGGATTAAGGAAGGCTTGGAAGCACGATAGGTGTAGACTGGAGGATGACGACAAAGGTCCGCTCTCCTCCGTCTACATCTATTGTACTTTCCTCCTCCTCCTCCTTTTTTGGTAAACTCAGGTTCAAATGTATATTCTGGTTGTGATATAAATATATTTTTATGAACAGGGCTTTTCGCCCTGTTTTTGGCTTCAAAAAAAAACTGCAGCGCATGTCTTTATTTGGCACAAAGCTGTCCACAAAAACTATGTCACACACACTCACATCATGTTGTAACTAGAATTTTGAAGGTCCAATATCATCACAAACAAGAAAAACTTCCTATAACAGATCCCCTGCCCAGTGTATAATTCCGCATGAATTCCAGAATCCCGAAAACCATGTAGATAATTTGTCAGGTCTCACAGATCCTGGCAACTGAAACTTAAGAAGGAACTCGCTCATTACCGGTGAAGCTTAGTCTGATGTATGGAATCGACTGGGAACCGACTCAAATGCAGTTTCAGTTG